ACAATCATGTCTTATGCTTTATCTTACATTATTCATATGTTATGCGACTTAAACTTGAAAACTCTTATTTTTAATGAAAATAATTATTAAATTATTTAAATCGCTAGTTTGCGACCTAACTTTTAAATCTTTTTGTTTCTTATTTTTTTGAGGCACAAGTAGGGCGCATGCCTAACCCAACCTCTATGCAGTTCCGTTGCTTGTAAGTAATATGTTTCTTGGTAACCAAAAATACCTAAGAGAAATATTACAATCAAGTCAAAGTCAGAGATACATTATTGATGGCCATGATTGCTTGATCAGTAATCGTGAAGTCGTTGGTTGTTTATGGAATTTTGAATCCACCAGATTTTTGCTCCATTCCAACTTCTAGAGTTAAATAATGTTGCTAGGATTATTGCTAATTCTCAACCATGACAAGTTTTAGACTTCTACCAAAAGTTTTTTTTTTCTTTATATTGATAAAAAAAATTTAACTAATTAACATTATAAAAGTGTTAATTTTATATATTAATTTTAAATTAAAAATTTTAAATTAATAATACTAATTCAACTAAACTCTTATTCATGTTTATATTCTAATTTATACAACAAATAGACAAATAAAGAGAAAAACTATATTACATAATTCACACTTAAAATTGTTAACTTGAAACTTTAAGTTTCATTCTACTAAAAAAATATATATATATTGATTTTGAAAGTCAAATGTAGAATTTAAATCTTATAAAAGAACAATCAACATATTATAACAAATAAATTGAATTTCCAGCATGCGTACATACCTTAATAATAATGAGCACTCATTTACAATTTTGCACAAACTAAAATATTGGGGAGCAACATAGACAGTGCAAATGGCCAATGAGAGGAACACTTGCTTGCACATGGCATAGTGCCAACTAACTCCCAAAACGACCAACAACATGATTGTAGCGTACTGTTCACAATTGAAAAATCGGAAACAAAATATATCCCATCATTTACCCTTAATAAAAAAAAAAAAGAAAAAAAGAAAAAAAGGAGGACTATTATGAGAGATAATGGAAAATCATGAATCTTCATGAATCAAATCACATAATTTACAACAGTCATTGAGTAAAAATCACTTTGATTTTCTCTTTCTCATTTCTTTCTTCTCCCTCCTTCTTCTTCTTCTTCTTCAGTTTTAGTAGCTGAAATCCTCGTGCTTCCACTCCAATTCGAACCCGGGATGACTCGGTGGATAAACTCAACCCCACCATTTATGCCATCTCCATGCATTCTCCGGAGCTAAATTACATAAATTCCCATCTCCTTTTACCTAATTATTATAAAAATATTTTCCCGAAAATAAAATAAAATCCCATCCACTTAATTATTATAAAAAAAAATTTTCCCGAAAATAAAATAAAATCCCATCCACTTAATTATTATAAAAAAAAATTTTCCCGAAAATAAAATAAAATCCCATCCACTTAACTCCACTAAAGTTAAAAAAAAAAAAAAAATGAAGAGGCCATGAGAGCATTCAGCTAAATTATTGACATAAAAGTAGTTTTTTTTTTTTTTTTTACTCCTCTGACCAGTCCTCCTCTCATCCAATTGACTGTCCCAAAAAATAAAAATAAAAAGAAAAACTAAAAATCTCCGAAAAAATTACTTAATAAAATTCCTCATTTCCGGTAACTCAGCCGAGTCAATAACTCGCTACCAGTCTCGAACCGAGTCGAACCCCGGGTCAGAATCGCAGCATGTTTTCTCTTACCAGATTGTTCTGTCGGCGAAACTATGAAGAAGTGGTCGGGATTCCTTCCATAAATCAAGCTTAGTACGGACTCCGGCGTGGCAATTTCCTTTGAAGTTATCCAGGCTGAGGAACCTGTTTCCACGACCCGACTCGGACCGGGAAATGAACCAGATCGCTTCTTCGAACACTGACTCGTCGCACGGGATCGCCAAGGGTCCCTGGTTGTTGAACCCATACTCTTCCTCCGCCTGGATTAACAGGTTCTTGAAAACGGGGTGGTTCAGGTACGTCGCCCGCACCACGAACCTCCTGCAGCTGGTGCCTACACAGACAGCCACGTAACCCGCAGGTACATCGGACGGTATCCGGCTGGCCGACATCCGTGCTTTGTTCCTCCACCGCCGCAGCATCTGTCTGAGCCTCACAATGTAGCGGATTTTGCTGCATTTCCCCAATCCAGTCGACATTTTGCAATTCGAAAACGGAAATATAAACCCAGATTCTGTTTGGGTTAGTTCTCCTGTGGAGGCTCTTTTTTTTTTTCCCGAGAAAATGATGGAAAATTTTTTATGGGGGGGGATTTGCCCTGAGGGAAGAGGGGGACTTTATAATGGAGGCATCCAGAAACTGCCCCTGGTTTTTGACTTAATTACAGGGTAGTGTCTGCTGTTCCTCCATCAGGTTTTTTTGGATTTCACAAAAATAGATAAATATGATGAAGACAAAAATAATTATGCAAAATTAAAAAATATTGTTGATGGAAATCTATAAAGAAAGATTTTTTAGTTTCTGATGCATTGCATTCTGCATATGTGTATGTAGGAATATAGGAGACTTTTCATGTGAGAATGAGAATTTAAAAGATTGTTGGGGTTAGAAGAAAATTGATAATTGTTTAATTAATCAAGTTAATTGCGGATAATTGAGCTTTTAATTCACTTTATTTGGAACTTATGTGTGCATCGATTTTTTTATATCTAATTCTCTCAATCATGTAATGGATTGGGTTACTAAACCTGCTTTGCAGGGTAAATGTCCACCTTATTAGCCCTAATCTTCTCCCCTCAAATTTATTACATCTATTATGTACGGACGTTGTTGTGTAAAAATATAGTAAAATTCTTTTTATTTAGAATTGAATTCATAATATTATATATATCTAATCTTTTAATGTCATATCATATTTAATATTATACCATAATTATAAATTTATAATTTTACGTAATATTGTACTAAGATTACGATAGACTATAATGACTACCACTGCATTAGATTGCAAATCGTCTTTGTTTTAAAATAAAATCGTGTGAATGATTTTGTTGTTGTGTTTGTTTTTCTTCCATTGCTGTTTTCCATTTTGGTAAAAAAACCTAAGATTTAGAAGAAAATCTTAATTTCAAACCATAAATTTATTTTTTAAAAATAACTTTTTTTTTTTGTCATTGATTACTAAGTAGAGTTCAAATAACTTCAAGATTAGGGTCCCGTTTGGTATAACGGTTTTTGAGTAGCGATTAACGGTTTTACATAAACCGCTAAATATAGATGTTTGGTAAATTTATAAATTTCGAAACCACTACAACTAAAATGTTTGGTAAAACTTTTATTGAGCGGTTTGAAACTAGTGAATAGCGGTTAGGGTCTAAATCGCTAATGGATTGAAAAAGTTAGTTTATGTAACTTTTTATATCAAATTGCTAACGGATTAAAATTTTTTAATTTTATTGACAAATTTATCCATTTTAATTTTTTAGTTTGTGGTCACATTTTTTAATTAATAATTATCTAATAAATTT